CTCCTCCCGGCCCCTCCTCTTACCTCCTCCCCTGCCCTCCTGGCTTCCCTCCTCCTCCCCCCTCCTCTTCCTCTTTCTTCCTCTCCCCGTTCCTCCTCTTCTCCATCTTACAGAGTTTACTGAGACCTGACTAAATAGTGCCCCAGACAAGCAATCTCTCCCAAGTGTGCCCACAGCTCCTGGAGATACTCTTATAGGTCCTCAGGCTGAAATCCCCAAATCCAAAAGGCTCTGGAAACCCAACTTTCTTCTTCAGGCCGGAACTGCCAGAACTCCAGATGCAGGTGTAGGCAAATAGGGCGAGAGGTTCCCGAAAAAAGAAAGACAAGGCTTTGGGATGCCTGGGTGGCTCAGTCAGATGAGCGTCCGACTTTGGCTCAGGTCATGATCTCACAGTCTGTGAGTTCAAGCCCCGCATCACGCTCTGTGCTGACAGCTCGGAGCCTGGAGCCTGCTTCAGATTCTGTGTCTCCCTCTCTCTCTGCCTCTCCCCTGCTCATGCTCTGTCTCTCTGTCTCAAAAATAAATAAAAACATTAAGAAAAAGAAAGACAAGCCGTAACTTTCTTAACATAAGAGAAGTCATTTTAGGTCCCCAGCCACTTTGTGAAATGCCCAACCACATTTCTTGCAGAACGTCCTGGGATCTGTTAAAATCACAAGACCTCCGTAGTTAACGATTTTAAAGGAACAAAAGGAATTAAAAACAGCCACTACCTGGCCAGGGGAGAACCTCACCACATCAGAGACAATACATTGGTGGTAAAAAAAACTCCCGCTGCTGTTTCAGAGGGAAAGATGGACCCACCACACTCTTGAATCTTTGCAGGGTTTAAACCCCTGGAACACTCAAACATCGATGACTTTTGCCCCACTTCTCTACAGCGCTCTCCTTTGCCAAGCCCTTTCATGAATATGCATGTACCCTTAGTTTCAGACTTCCCCAATTTTGTTGTCTGGGGAGGGCGGGGACAGTGCTTTGGGAGAAATATCCTCAGTGGTCTCCCTACTTGTTGCAAATAAAACCCTTCCTTTTCCCACTCTTGGCTTGGTTGTCTTTCAGCTGGACACCCACCAGGAGGAGAACGCAGTTTCCGGTTACAGAGGGACCACCTCCCCCTGTGCTGACCCAGTCTGCTGTCACTGCTTTCAGTGGTCAATTATTCCTTTGTATCCCTGATGTATCCCTTTGCTTAAGGGCTGTCCCGAGAGCCCCAGGGGCATCACGTAAGATACAGCAGATTTCACCCTCAATTATCTCCTTAAGCTACCAAAAACTCCCAGTTCTGAAATACAACTGTCGCCTGGTTTTCCAGATGAAGCCGTCTTACCTCCATTTCACAGAAATGGAAACTGAGGCCTGGAGACGGGGACAGACTCAGGTTCTACCCCTCTCCAGCTGGTGGCCTTGGACTGGTCACCTCTCCCCTCTGTACCTTGGTTGCCCTTGGGTGATAATGCCCGCCTCCTGGAACGCCGTGCATCAAATATTTCTTGATCACCACTGCGCCACGGCTGACTAGGGGTTTCGCATCCGCGGAATGAATGGGCCAGGCACCTGCTGGGTGTAGGGGCACAGCCAACCGTGCATCTCCCTCCCTGGGGTGCAGGCCACGGCGAAGGGAGTTCTTAGAACTTTCCAGAAGGAGAGAAATGAAGCATCCATTGAAAGTAAAATACTGAAAGATCATAGCTTGGGGGTTTCATTATAAACAGACCATGAGCACCACGTGGGAGTGAACAATTTCTCTCCGCCAAATTCATGTGCCCACCACAAGTAGGGGTATTAGTTTCTTGCTGCTGCCATAACAAAGTATCACAAAGTGTTAAACCAGGTGGCTTAAAACAACAGAAATTTATTCTCTCACAGTTCTGGAGGCCAGAAGTCCGAAATCAAAATGTCAACAGCCACACTCCCTCTGGAAATTCTAGGGAAGGATCCACGCATTCCTCGGCTGTGGCCACGTCACTCTGCCTCCGTCTTCACATGGCCTTCTCCCCGTGTGTCTCCTCTTCTGTCTCTTACAAAGACACTTGCCATTGGATTTAAGACCTACCTCCATAATCCAAGATGATCTCATCTTGAGATTCTTAATTACATCCGCGAAGACCCTTTCTCCAAATAAGGTCACGGTCACAGGTTCCGGGGTTAGGACTCGGACAGATCTCTCTGGGGGCCACCACTCAACCCACTACAACAGAATAAAGGGTTAGAGCAGTAGTTCTCGGGACACCTGGGTGGCTCCGTCGGTTAAGCGTCCGACTCCGGCTCAGGTCATGATTTCGCAGTTGGTGAGTTCGAGCCCCACATGGGGCTCTGTGCTGACATAGCTCAGAGCCTGGAGCCCGCTTCTGATTCTGTGTCTGCCTCTCTCTCTGCCCCTCCCCTGCTCATACTGTCTGTCAATAAATAAATAAATAAATAAATAAATAAATACGCAGTAGTTCTCAACTGCCCCTGGAGACACCTGGCAATGCCTGGAGACATTTTTATTTGTTTATTTTTTTTTAATGTTTATTTCTTTTCTGTTCTGAGAACAGAAGCCTGGCACCTCACAAACATTATAGAAGAGTCCTCTGTCCTCGAGATCATTTTGCTCTTGGTGCATCTTTTGCACTCGCGACACGAGTCGCGAGAGTGAGGAAAATCTGGGGAAACCATTTCTAAACAGAATGTAACATGGGGCGCCTGGGTGGCGCAGTCGGTTAAACGTCTGACTTCAGCCAGGTCACGATCTCGCGGTCCATGAGTTCGAGCCCCGCGTCGGGCTCTGGGCTGATGGCTCGGAGCCTGGAGCCTGTTTCCGACTCTGTGTCTCCCTCTCTCTCTGCCCCTCCCCCGTTCATGCTCTGTCTCTCTCTGTCCCAAAAATAAATAAAAAACGTTGAAAAAAAAAACAGAATGTAACAAGGACATATCGGGACTGAGGTCATTCACAAAACCTTGACAACATGAATTACGTCTTGGGAATGGAGATGTTGTGACTTCCTTTCTTATTGTTTAAAGCCAATCCGAAGTTTCTTTCAGAGTCTCTCATGTTTTTCTAAACCTGGAAAAATCTTCTAGACCTGGTGTCCCAGTTAGCTATTGCTGTGTAACAGATCACCCCGAACTGGAGTGGATTCATACAACAGGGATCAACTGTATCTGTCTGGCTGGGCAGTCCCCCTGCTGGACTCAATC